CATCTCCTTGAGGGGTTTGACGTAATCGTTGGATTCATTTTTGTTGCTCTTTGGTGATTTTAGGACCTGTCATAATGGTCAGGGACACGCCTTGACGTGTGTAATGAAATATCGTGGAACTGTTTTCGAACCATATCCGTTGCAGCTTATCGCTACGTTGTATCCGATATCTTCTGTCTTGTTTTATCTTGAGTATCCAAGGCCGCTGCGAATTTTTTGCCTTCGCGATCCATAAAGGGTCATGAATTTGCGATGTTTTCAAATAATTTCATTTTGCAGTTGTCGCATAAGGCTGCATGCATGTCGACTGATCGTGAAAGGAGTTTGGTATGTTCGCAGATGGTTGGGACTTTGAAACCTCAGGTGAATTACATGTGTAGATGATAGAGAGATGGTTTACACACCTGAATTCGCATGTCTCAATTAAATATAGATAACTTACTGCGCAAAGGCTTGTTTGTTGTTCTTTCTTCATTTGATTGTGAAGGCGGCACATTAAGGATGATGGCAACATTATCGAATGTTTACTGTTCGTCATGCATTCTACATATCTTCACACATTACACGTTTCCTATAGTAGTGCGTCACATGTAAATCATACGTTATGGACATACCTTTATATTAATTGTATATCTTTGTACACCTTCCATGTGAACAATTCTCCATATCGTTGTTGTTTGTCACCTAACTACTATGGCGAGTTGCACTTGTCAGTGTGAGATGTATTTTTAGACCCTGTTCTTCTCTTCGTCATTGATTTATTCGCGGATTCGCTTGAAGTGTCCATGAGATAATCAGTTTTTTAATTAGCTGTCAAAATTTCTGCAGGTGATGCTCCATATTTGGATGCTTTTTAATCATTAACGATTCTATGCGCGCACAGTTTTCATTGGAAACGTTTCCATCAAAATTTATGATTATTTTCTGAATTACGATGTCATGTTACATTCGTTGAGTCATTTAATATAACAACCCGGCCAATGCTGGGATGTTTTGGAAAATCTGTGTTGTTCATCCACCAGTCATGACGGGAGCAGAAATTTTTACTCTGATGGTCTCTGCTCGCAATTTTCATGAGCACAAGCCGCCAAGTCATCACGCTCATATGCTCATGATTCGCCCAGCATTGAATTGGACATTATTTCATGTGATAACTGAGTTTAATAACTATTCAGGCCTTGGATTATTGCTTTGTATAGTCTTCATTCATAATCTTCATTCATGATTATTGCTTTGTATAGTCTTCATTCATAGTGATCATTCATAATTTCCTTAACAGACACAATGTGAAATTTTTGATGAGTATCCGGATTTTACGTGTTACGGTTGATATTGTTTGCTTTCGTTCCACTATGTTTTACAGCAACAAATGTGATTCACCTTTCACTATGCGATTGTATTTGACTCCCGTAATGCTTTTTTTCAATTGCAATATTTGAATAAGGATGCTTATCGCGATAACTATCTCAAGTGTTTAAGTATTCATCAATTGGAAAACTAGTTCTCTATCCTTGTTGAATGGAATCACTTGCCTAAATTTTCAATTTGACGTTATTCAACACGATAATGATTTCACCCTTCTAGCTGTTTGTGCATTGTTCATCTTATTACAGCACTCTTTGTGATATTATGGGATTTTCTTTTTTATTCACTGTGGAATTTTCGTTGATTTCCTCTAATCTGTTTATTACAGTTTATAAAATTTCGTGTTCTCCTCAGTCATGTTCATAGTTTTATGGTCATTTTCAGTTCATTCCCATTTCCCAAATGCCATCAGGGATAAAAGCATTTATCTGTGCCGGAAGTTCATTGCGCATTTCCCATTCATAAGTGCAAGTGGTTTTTGTGAGTGTAATATGAATTCATCCGGTCACCTGCATAGCTGTTGAACTAGTGTTACACTGTTGTTGTGAATAGTAACCGTTCTTCGGCAGTATTTTCGATTGATGGAGTACTGATCATATCGATTGTTGGGCAAAACAACAGCTGACAAAATAACAGTCTACGTTGATTTCATGAAAAATTCTCGAAATGGCGTATTCATGCTCATACTTTACGCCTATCATTAGCATTCACATTTGTTTTGATTGATTTGAACGCATTCATTGATGCTTTTTGGTACTGTGCAATATTCTTTCATTTCTGCGAATCTCATATGGCTGTTGTTCTTGTTCGGATCGAATGATTAGTATGAATTGCGTTAGGTGAATATTCTCTTCACTTTAGCCATTATATTGATGAATTATTGCATTACGTTAGACAAAAGCGTACGAACTTCATCTTCGATTCCCATTTCTAAAAGTTGGTTTCAGTCTTGCAAGAACGTGCGTTTCGAAGAAATCTTTAATGCATCCAAAAAATCCCATATTTGGAATTTATATGTTTTATTGAATCATTCCCACTGAATCACACTCGTAATGACGTTGGAGAACCTGTACAATTTGATTCTTCTTCTAATATTTTCAGTTTATTCACTTTTTTAGTCAGTGCTCCAGTTTTCTCTTTTTATCAGTGGAAGCCTAACCAGATGAAAAATTCTCCTCAAAAGTTTTTGATGATAACACATATTTTTAAAACTGGTGCATAATATTTCTACTCCTCATTGTTGTCACATTCGTATTCGTTAGCTGCGCTGCTTAATTTTCATAATGATTTCAGCTCTCTGATAGTGTCTGATTCAATAAACTGCATTTGTATGTGAATTAAGAACGATCATTCAAAATGTTGCTTATTTGAATGAGGCAATATTGCTGATCTGTCAACAATGTGCAATAATAATTATAATAATATTTACATCGTCGTTCGATGAATATTCTCGTCAAACAATACAATGTCAATCAAAACGACAACAGCACCTGTGCTATACTTCCCATTGCAATTACCAACGTGTTTTCGCAATTCTGCAAATTAATCGTTGTCGAAATAAATCTTTCCGATTTTTTCACATTGTCAGTACGCTATAAAAGTGTGCTGAAGAAAACTGCACAACGTATGTTAACCGAACGTTCTTCTCCCTTCTATGAGAGTTTTTTCTTCATTGCTAATCATTCCGTTACGCTTGAGTACTATATTTTACATGTCGCAAGGAAAAGTCTCATCATTAAGTCTTTTATTCGCATCGTTCATAATCTAATGGCTACTATCCGTCAAAATTTGTTATACCTTATTCAAAGATCTATGAATTCTCAGTTTATTAGTTGATTTGCTTTTAAAATGGTTTCCACTGTTCGGCACGTCTCGAGGCTATTGACAATAAAGAAATTCCTGAATTCTGCCCGAATTCGCGACTATCATTGAATTCTCAGCAATAGAGTGATGAAATTAGACTTTCATTAGTGGGTGCGCTATTCTTCTCAATTGCATTTACTCCATATTGCGACATTGCGAAATTTTCGATTATAACGCTAATAGCTTCCTTTTCATAATAATGTTTTATTGTCATCACAATGTCAAACAATCGAAAATTGCATCTATTACGTCTATTGCATTGATTGACCACTGAATATACACATTATGACACATCATATTTAACAAACGCGACAATTGATGTGACAACCAGTAGGAGAATTTCTGTTTTATCATAGGTTTTGCATTGATATGACTACGAATATTTCCAGCAATACTATGAACGATAGCATTACGAAATATTCTTTAAAATTAATGCTAGCAATGATAATAATAATAATGGTGACACGTTGCAGCGTGCTATTTTTTGATACTATGTAAGCAACTGCATTGGATCAATAATATATACAGTTAGCTGCCACTGGAATTATACAACACATCTGTAATCAACTTAATATTAATGTACCAGTCATAGACGAATATGATATTGAAGTTACATGTCCATGGCAACTGTTAAACGAATCGGTATTATTGGATATGGTCATTTAGGTAACTGAATTGCTTGTATTTGCTAACTGTTGCACGCACCTGCTTATTTTTTCGTTTAACTACCATCAATTATGGAAAATTTATGTTATAAGTGACAACTAGACGATCCTCATTTCCTCTTATTCAATTGTTTCTCAGGAGATGAAAAGTAACGAGAAATTTAATCACTCTTCCAGGTTTTTGCAGAGAAGTAGCAGTGACATTTCTGAGAATTTCTTGAACGCTGAATTTCGTAATCTTAAAGTTTTATTCTTCCATCAAATAAACTTTTGCAAACGAGAGATGAGGGTGGAAGTTTCTTTGCAGGTAAGTTCTTGAAAGAACAACTGGATAAAGATGAACGTTTCAAAGTTACGAAAATATGGAATCGTTCAAATGAATCTGCTGATCCCTCGATATTACCGTTGATCGATCTTGATATCGAAAATCTTTCGTTTGTTTCCATCTTTCGAAATTTCACATTTTCGAATGTATCAGTCCTAAATACAAACGATTCAAATGCGCCAGTCAAACGGTGCATAAATATATGGGATTTTTCTCACATAAAGTTGCCGGTGGTGGTGTCTATTCTGTAGACTGGAGAATGAGCACAAACACACGCCCTCAAATCGCACTTCAAATGATTTTCGTCTGTGGCAGTAGCGAAGTGAATGCTTCGCAAAAACTTTTCACGATTATATCATATAATTCCAACCAATCGAAATCAACAAATTGAATCGTTCGCATTGAACGTGCTATTAAGAGAGAAACATGTCCACAGAGTGGCAACCGAAGAAAACATGTTGAAAATTATTTCAGCACTGATAAGAGCAACCTTCTTAAGCTTCCTAAGTTACAGCTTTTGATAAGGATTTTGCAGCTGTGCGATCCTGCATTCATCCTCTTATAGTAAGCAAAATATTTATTATGAACAAATTGTTAATCAGTTGAAACTGCAAAAAGAGAAACTGCACGTATGAAAGCGGTTTAAACTGGTCGACGATAAATGCAAAGCAGAATGTCATTGCGAACATTTTATTTGCAAGCAAATAGTTTCAAGTAACTGTTAAAAATAATCTCCATTTCATTGAAAAAAAAAGCACATTTCAGATGTGTTGATATGGTCATTGAAGTTGCTCATCCATCGATTGTTACTAATTTTGGTGTACTTATCCTGAAATATGCAGACTTCTTCGTAGGATTTCTATTCTTCCTATCCTCTGAACTGTTTTTCCAAAAATTTCCTTCAATTATAACCACAAAAATTCCATTGGAAACTATTCAAAAAGATTTTAATGCATTAGCATCATATTAGCCGAACAACTGGATGTTCGAAAATGTCCTCGAATCAGCATGCTCATCATGAATAAACAATTAAGGTTGGTTCTTCAACGGCTCTCGCCGATGCTGCCTTATACGAGACTTTGAAGCATGCTGTTCAAGTGAACAAGCGGCGTTTGTTCATACCGTCAGGTTCATTTTGGGGCGCTGACGATATCCAAAAAATGGCTAATTTAGGAACAATTAAAGTGGGTTTTTGATTGGAAATTTTGTTTCAGAATTTTCAAAATCCTTGCTATTGTCCTCTAAAATTTAATGTGAAATTCAAGGAGTAAATAAATGCTTTTTCATGAGTTGGTGCGAATGGAAAGTAATCATATAATTTTGAGTGTTTCAATATAGTAGAATAAAGTACCACTATTAAAGGGACTAACAATTACAATGATCAAACACCCGAGCTCGTTGCGACTCGAAGGACCCTTGCAGGAACTTAACGAGAAAGCGAAACTCAGTGATTCAGCTGTTGTTCTGTATGATGGTTCGTTATGTTTGCAAAAACTACATGTGCAGCTGACAATCTAACTTAATGCGATTTTGAAATTCGTGAGAGAATTCTCAATGTGTAATGCAATAAGTGCTCATCAAAAAACTAGGCATTCTCATGAAACCAGACATCCCAAACGCAATTCACCTCATAAGTCTCCTCATTTCTCATCTCCCTACGCTTTAGCGCTATGCAACTGAAAGTTTTCCGATTTCAGTTTGTAAATTAGTGCACAACTGGGATATTTCGACAGTAAGTGTTTTATTGGAAATAAAATCCATTTTATTTTCATGGCCTGTTCGAGCGTTATGTTCACTGGCACCAAACAATGTGAATGTAATGGCCAGTGCCTCAATTGCGGCGCATACACTCGGTTTTGATTTAGTTCGTGCCAAACTGATATCTGATCCGAGGTCAGCATTCAGTTCTGTTCGTTACGCCTTTCTGTTGTCAGCATTTTTTTATAATGATTGCCGTTTTTCCTCATTCTTATCTTACACTCGCAAACAAGTATACGGGACAGTGAAGAACCGTTTCGATCTTGCAACATGTGTCGTTGCTCTTTTTTGACATTCAATTGATTAACTGAGATCAAATCAGTTATTATCAGTGATAAATGACTGATGTCGTCCAATGTTGTTTCATTTTTTAATCTTTTGACTAATCGATGAACACAACATTTGTTCCACGTGGATGATTTAACTTGTTCAAGTCTCTCTTCATGGCACATTGTCGAGATTGATGTGGAGGGACCGGATGGCTTCCGTGTGCGCACAAGACGAGAAAATCCCGCGAAGCCAGGGGCTCTAGCCGGATCTTTAACTCATCAAGCTTTTTTGTCTTGTGTGCAAAGTGAGTCTGACTGGCCAGTACCACTCGCCTCGTTCACCAGTTGTTTTCACTACGTTCATCACAATTCCTCGCACTCGAAAAAGCATCTTTATATAGCTGTTTGAAGTGCGAGTCCTTTCGAAACATCTGGAGTCAGAAGAATGGGAAATATAAATGAGATACATTACATTCATATCCAAAATTCTGGAATGTTTCATGTGGAGAACTCAACAACTCTAAATTTTTTAATATGTTGTCTTCAAAAAATTTACAGTTTCATTTTAGGAACCTTCTATAAGCCGTTCGGTATACACATCGTTTGAGCAAATTCTCTGTCGGTCAACTTTGCCATAATTCTAACTAATCTACAAAGCACATCAATGGTGCGCGCCTCATTGCCTCATCCAATAATCTGATTTACTGAATGTTTTGTTGTTTCTGATCAACGGTTTTTTTTTTGCAAATTTTGTTTTGTTTTGGTGATGCATAAATGATTTGATTTTTGATGTGAAAATCCCGTGAAGAAACCAAGTAAAAAGAGTAATTCGAATATGAGCATTGTTTTATTGTGACTCTACAGTCACTTGCGTAAACAAAGTTCAAAACCAGATGGTGATAAGCAAACTGAATGCATATTGTTATTAAAGGCAAGAAAATAAAACATATGTAAGAGCACGTGTATGATGAAATCATCGTCTGTGAATTGTCGGATGGAAACACGATAAAAGACATGAAAGAGTATGAATGAATGCTACAATTCGGATAAAATGCCTCATTTTCATACCACCCAAAACTTTTCTGCGAATGCAGATTTGACTTGATATCGTCATGTTTGCGAATGAAGTACTGGCGCAATGTTGCAGTAAACGCCTTCCGATTTTGTTCAGTTTACACGAATACATTGTCATCAAGGATGTAGCCGTCAGTGATTGCGTAAATAAATGAGCATATGTACAAGATGAACAATAGTACAGAAGAGGGAGTGAGGGCTGCGAATTGTGAATCGCATACAAAATCCGCATGTTTTCAGTGGGAAATATAAACGAGATACGTTACATTCATATCCAAAATTCTGGAATGTTTCATGTGGAGAACTCAGCAACTCTAAATTTGTCAGCCAATATGTTGTCGTCAAAAACTTTACAGTTCCATTTTAAGGACCTTCTATAAGCCATTCGGTATACACATCGTTTGAGTAAATTCTCTATCGGTCAACTTTGCCATAATACTAACTAATCTACAACGCAAATCAATGGTGCGTGCCTCATTGCCTCATCCAATAATAAATGAAGTTTGAATGAACGAAGTTTCACCAAATATTTGTGCAGAAACAAAAAATCGAAATGAACAATACAACAAAAGATCGAAATGAAATTATGTATATGTACAATATATGTACATCATCAAGAATTTACATATGAACAACTCAGAAAAACTTTCGGAGTTGTCATGCTGATTTCCTTTTATATCCATTCGCGAAAGCATCGTTCGCATAACCATTTAAATATGCTGAATCGTTACTACTTTGCATTGATTCCGCTGTATCCTGTAGCGAACTGAAATAGTCGAATTATTTCAAACGCTCACTTAACTCAGATTCACATTTTGAACGTATTTACTTTCTGTTTGACTCTGTCAGATTCATTGAATTCGAATCAAACATTATTCATCATCGAGCAAAACCTACTATCCTGATGGAAGAACGTTAAACGCAATCAGTTCAGCAATTGGTTTTTTTGTTATCAAAATTTGGAGCATTTGCAAAAAACCTCTATCACAATATTTTGAAGTATAGAGAAGGGGTCGAAATTTCGAGTCGGAGCCGAAATTTCGCGTACAGTGGACAGATTTGGTCGTAAATTAATCATCAGATATG